ACTCATAGTGACCCTGTATAGGGTTTCCAAGGAGCAGCTGGTGAGCTTGAACCACTGACTTTGCAGCTCAAATGACTTTGCAATCTGACAATTTAGCCCATAGCACAACACCAGGACACTAAAGTAATACAGATTAAATCACGATATGAATAACCCAGGCAACAATGGTAAAATGAATCTCCGGATATCTCCAATCTGATCCTCGAGGATATACCAGTAATAAAACATGAAGTCAAATTTAAAATTTTTATCAAATACCATACAGATTATTTTCCCAAAAGAACTACCACTGGTTTATAATTTAAATAAAAAAATAAGTTATAAAATATGTAACAAGTACCCCAGTTATCAATGACATGTTTTAGAAAACACCGTATAAATGGAAAAGGCACTAAACAAATTGTGAGTAAAAAATACCATTTACAAATATTTTTACTATTGTTGCTGTTAAGTGTTGTTGAGTCAGTTCTGATTCACAGCGACCTTGTATAAGGTTTCTGATAAGCAGCTGGTGGGTTTGGACTGCCACCTTGGGGTTTTAATAGGCCTTGCAGTCTAGTGCTCATCCTCGAGCACCACACCAGGACTCCATATTTACTATAATCCCTTCCAAAAATATTATATTTAAGAGACTGACCTGCAGTAATATACTGTGCTGAAGCCATTTCCCCTGAAGCTCTCAAGGCACCTGCATACCTGGAAAAGTTAAAGAAGAATTAAATAATAGTATTCAATTCACTCAGAAACTCAAGTGGAAAGAGACCAGTTAAAAAAACTAGTAGTTGAACACTTAATTATGTGTACCACCCAGAAACTCCGCGTTGGTCTGATTTGTTTTGCCACCCTCAACTACAAATTTCTTAAGAGTTGTTCCCATCTTTCTATTTTCTTTTCTTCTACTCTTGCTCATTTAAGCATTCTATGAGTAAAAAGTAGTGCCAAGAAAAAAATTTTAGATGAAGCCTACTTTAAATTCTTTCCACTTTGTCTAATTCATCTAAAATATACTTTCTGAAAACAGTGTGAAACCGAAAGGTGTAAATTTAATGTCTTATTATTACAAAGAAAATAAAACAACTTCAGAAATAACAACAAAGAAAAAGCACTGGTTCTAAAACATTAAATCAAACATCATACAGCATTAACTTCTACAAACATTAAATAAAGTCACTTGAATTTTGAGTCAGTTGTTCATCTGTAAATTGCAGAGTTTATATTAAATGATTTCTAAATTCACTTTCAGCTTTATGAATGTCAATTAATTTACAATATAAATGTTTAACCATCAAAAGGAAATATTCAATCAAATTATCATTTATACAGTATCAAACATGGAGGTTAGTTGTGCATATGTATTATGATTATCTTTATGTACTGTATATCCACTCAAGTGACCAAAATGAAAACATCTGATTGACACATCACCCAATATGGCAAGAATGCAGAGCAACTACAACTATGATACAATAAAAAATAGCCAAATCTCAAAAACTTTATGCTGAAACAAACCAACTCAAAAAGAGAATGTGTATCTTGTATGATTCCATTTATATTAAGTTGCAGAACAGGCAAAACAAATCAGACCAAGGCGGAGTTTCTGGGTGGTACACATAATTAAGTGTTCAACTACTAGCCAAAAGGTTGGTGGTTCAAATCCATGCAGGGCCACCTTGAAAGACAGGCCTAGTGATCTGATTTCCAAAGATAATGGCCTTGAGTACCCTATGGAGCAGTTCTACTTGGCACACCTGGGGTCACCATGAATCAGACTCCACTCAATGATGAGTAACAACAAAACTGTATGTTGGGTGGGGAAGACCAGGAAAAAATGGGTTACAAGAATTTCCATTTGTCAAAACTGATCAGACTTAACACTGAAGATATGTACATTTCATTATACATTTTATACCTCAATTTAAAAGAACCCTGTTCCTAAGACAAAAGTTTTTCTCAGGGTTGATTACTAGAGAGTAACTGTTTAAGGGGTACTGAATTTCTGTCTAGGATAATGAAAACCTTGTGGAATTATGGTGAAAATCATTAATGCCATTGAATTATATACACTTACAAATGGCTAAGATGGCAAAACTGTGTTATATCTTTTCATATTGTACCACAATAAAAAAAAAAATAAAAAAAAACCTTAAGACTCTATAAATATATAAATAGAAGAAATCACAGGAAATGTTCTGTTACACTACATTCAATTAAAGGGTTTTCTTTTTCTTTTCCATGTGATTGTTCTCTCAGAAAAACTTTGGGGTAATTAAGCAAAAATAAATAATCACCCCTCTAGTAGTGTGGCACTGTGTATTAATGTGCTAGATCACAAAATCGGTTTGAACAACAAGGTCAGTGGTTCAAATTCATCGGCTGCTCCTTGGAAACCCTATACAGGGTCGCTATGGATTGGAACCAACTCAATGGCACGTAACAAGAAGTTTAAACAATAATTGTTGTTGTTGTTGTTAAGTAGCTGATACAAATGTTCATTAAGACTAAAGTATGAAAAAACTGAAAAGTTGCTAAAATATCATGTCATGCTATTTTAGCAACTTTTTAAAAGAAACTTTTGAAGTTAAAATGATGCTCAAGGGGTCTTCAAAAAGTTTGTGGATAATTGGAATTAAGACAGAAATTAAAACAATGTACACTTTATCTTTCAATATCAGCTACATCTAGTTCAATAATACACTTTGTAAGCGATGATGTTGTTGTTGTTAATTGCCATTGAGTCGATTCCGACCCACAGCGACCCTGTATAAGGTTTACGAGGAGCAGCTGGTGAGCTTAAACCACTGAACTTGCAGTTCAAATGGCTTTGCAGTCTGGCACATTAACCCACAGCACCACACCAGGACTCCTTAGCAGCCATTCAGTCCGTCTCTAAAGAACTGAGGGTCTGGGAATTTAACCACGTCAGTGCAGTCTTTTTACATTACTAACTGAAGAAAAACGAGTGCCCTTTAAAGATTTTTTTTTTAAGATTAGGAAACAGAAAGGAATCATAAACAGGCAAGTAAGCCTAATGATGTACCATCAAAACTCTCACAAAATTACCCTTGTTTGATAAAGAGGAATGAGCAGGATCATTTTTGTGGTGAAGGATTCTCTGGTAAACTTTCCCAGGCACTTTTCTGCTAAAACTTTGGCTTTCTCAAAACACGGTTATTATCAGCAGATGATATTGTTCTTTAACCCTCCAAAAAGAAGCAAAATGCTTTGAGCATCCCAAAAACCTGTTGCTCTTGTCTGCAGCTGTTCTGGGACCAACAATTTTGGCACCTATCAATTAGAAAGTTTCCTAACTTTAATTTTCAGTCAGAATTGTGTAAATTACACCAACTGAGACTATCTGTGGTGTTGACTATTGTTTCTGCTGTTAATCCTCAGCCCTCAGTTCAATTAGCACAAGAACAGTATTAATTTTTCCTTGAAAACTGATGTGGAAGGTCCTGCCACTCTGGGTTACAGCATCTCATACTTTCTAAAAATGAAGTTGTTTGTTGCTGTTAAGTGTCGTCGAGTTGGTTCTGACTCATAACGACCCTGTATAAAGTTTCTGAGAAGTGTCTGACGAACTTGAACCCCAGAACTTGGGGATCAAATCGACCTTGCAGTTCAGAGCATTAACTCACAGCACCACACCGGGACTCCAATTTTCCACTGTAAACAGCTAGCTGATTTATTTGGGCCACTGTCATCATCCACTTTTTGTAAAGCATTAATGATTTCACCATTCTTCAACCCAAGTAGCACCATAAATTTGATGTTTATTCTTGATTCAATTTCAGCAGAATTCATGCTACCAGATAGGGGCTCTTTTCAAATGGATGTCTTATCTTTCACAGTGCCTCAAACTAGATCCTGTTCAGACATGTTTTAACAAGTTAGTACAAGCTTATTTTTCTGCAAAAAATTTTGAAATTTCATAAGCATTTTCCATGAATTTTGCGAAGACCCCTCAGTATGCATATACATAAATGAACCACATCTACACACAACATAAGTGAACCAATCTTATGGTCCAGTGCTTATCTTAACAGTGCCACACTAGGACGCTATCATCTCGGCAACTATCACCAAGTGACTGGGTTGTTGCTGTTGTTGTTTAAAGTGTCATCAAGTCTGTTGCGTGAAGTTGGTTATGACTCATAGTGACCTTGAATAGAACTGCCGAAGAATAACTGGCGGGTATGAACTACTGACCTTCTAGTTAGCAGTCCAGTACTTGTCCTACAAGCTATATGTTGTTGTTGTTATTAAGCCATCACAGAGGCAGAAAGGGGGATTGTACTACTGTTAAAAAAAGAAAGAGCCAATGGAACATGCCTTTTAGACCAGAGATCCCTGTACTGAATGAAACTCCTCAATCCAGCAGAAAAAGCTGTAACAGTAGGGATGATGAGAGATGGCAAGAGACAGCACTGAGCAGCAGCAAAGGTAGCAGAGGCAGACACAAAAAAGCTGAGAAAGCTGAGCACCTTTGGACAGGAGATTTGCTGCACACATAATAAGCAAAACTAAAAGAGCTTTTAAACATTTGCCCAAGCAGGTCAGGTGCCAAATGACTATGTGACTAACAGGCTGAGGGTCAGATAGTGGCATACCTACTGACACAACTATGAGGCTATTCTGATCAAAGAACTATATTATGTGTTCCTGATCCTGAACTATAACCCATTACTTTCCTAATAAACCCTGTAACTACGAGTGGTGGTGGCATGCTATTGAGCCCACTCCAAATCATAGGGACCCTATATAAGGTTTCTGAGGCTGTAAATCTTTACAGGAGCAGAAAGCCTCACTTTCTCCCGAGGAGCAACTGGTAGACTCAAACTACTGACCTTGTGGTAAGCAGCACTACATGTAACCCATTACGTTACCAGGGCTCCTTGACAACTACATGAGCAGAGTCTGTGAATTCAGTGTGGTCACTGCAATGAACTGTAGAACTCAGCAGAGAAGTAGACATAGCCATGGGAGGGATGGTTGTCAGAACTGGTGAAAGTTACAAGTGGAGGAATGTATGACCTCCACAGGTGATGCTAATGATCTTGATTCTCCTTCACTCTTACAAAGTTAGAGAAGTCAGATGCCATTCCCACACCATTTTGACAGTAATAAATGACCAAAAATCATTATAAAAAATTATCAGTAAGTCTGTAACTATATATTTTTTAAAAATACAAGTATTTCAAAAATATAAAGGCTTCTTCCTATTAGGGTAGTTATAAAAATATCATTCAACTAGGTTCAGTAAGAAAAACTTGAGGTCTATGACAACCAGTAGCATTTGAAAATTTTAACATATATTTTTCTCTTTTTTTTTTTAAACAGACCCCACCCCCACCATAAACAAATGTACGAAGTATACTTTCTTAAAGATGCTAAAGAATATTTCTATCAAATCAAAGGCCACTATTTCTTAACTTTATAAAAACATATTATTAAAACACAAAGGAAGAGGCTAATGTCCATCACCACCTAATATTTAACAACATGCTCAAAGTTCTAGCCAGTGAAGTAAGAGAAGAAAGAAACATGAAGTGAGCTACCTAAAACAGATGGAACTATCATGATTAATAGAAAATATAATTACCTATTTAGGAAATTTAAAAATTAAGTAAAAAAAAAAAAACTGCCTTATTTTCATAATTGTATGATTCTTAGCATAAATATAATGATACATTTTC